GCTGATATGGTCGCCGGGATTAACACAAGGTTCAAGATTGCGACGAAGCATGAATTCAGCGTTCCAAAGCGGTAGCGCAAGTCAGCCACCTTGTCAAGGGACGTCGCTTATGAGTCGACGGTATTGATGGCCTAGGAATAAAGCTTACTTCAAAAAATATCAAGAGGTGGATAAAAAAAAAAGACATGCGCAAAGCAAGGCAAATACATTTCGAATTACTGACCAACCACCCCAAGGCGATAATGACGAACGAATGACACTCCAGAGTCTTTACACAGTTGCGGTACTGTTTATTGTATTGCGTTGATGGCGTTCGGGCTCGGCTTTCTCCATTGGGTATCGAGACGGTCGCCACGGCGAGGAAGAATCTGTTAGGGTTTGCATTTGCACAGCTTTAAGTTTCTTGCAAGAAAAATACCCCCAAGCCGTTAACCATTGTACAGTACCTATGAATGCTATCATGACAGTGGGTATGGAAATGAAAGGACTGGTCGAGCGGGCGTTTCAAGTGTGTACCTCCCTACCTAGGTAGGAACCTATGTATGTGTTGCCTTTGATTTTTTTTCCCAACATGGATCTGGCGGAACCAGACTGCCTACCATGTCACAGCCAGCCCAGGCTACTCCAGAGAACCAAAACTCAGTTAGTTTGTATATAGTGCGGCCGGCCAGCCAGCGAATGGCATGGGATTTTGTTAGCTGTCGGACCGATTCTTGCGCAGGCTCTGTTTTGTTTTTTGTGGCCTCCTTCAAAGTTTACCTAGGAGAAGGTGATGGGCTTCTTCGTCAAGCCCGAGATCAAGTCCTCGACGAGATCTCTCTTGCGTTTCTTCTTTTGCTCGGCCTCGTCCAACAGCGGAGCAGGGGGGGGATCATCATCAACGTTGCCGGTATTACCGATACCGGGCCCGGTGGCCCCAGATCGTTCCCTCGCATCATCCTGGTCGTCCTCGTAGTACGATGTCTGGGAAGGCATCCATGCACAGATCCTCCCGTCCCCGTGCGCCGTGTACATCTCCACGCCTTCGCCCACGGGCGCATTGATCCGCCATACCATGGCGTTGATTCTTCCTCCGCTCGTCAATCGGGCGACATTGTGGCTCATGGCGCCGCTGCCGCCCGCCGGACCAGCTTTTCTGTTGCTGCCCCTCTTTTTTGCGCTCGCACGCTGTGCATCTGAAATCCGGATGCCTTCTGTTTTGAGGGTCCTGACCAAGTTGCCCTCTCGGAGGTGGTGCTGGAACACCATGCCCCTTCCGTCGTCGTTGGGCCACCAGAGCATCTCCTTCCCGACGCCGTGATAGCCCTTTGGAGAGAGTAAAGGCTTCAGTTCGCCTTGCCTTTCGTTCCTGATCCTCGGACCGTAGTGCACTAGATCATTACGACCAGAAGCAGCGTCCCAGACACGAATGCGCTGGTCGTGGCCCGTGGTGATGACCTTGTCGCCCATCGGAGACCACTGCACGCTCGTCACGGGGCCGTTGTGCGCGACGGCGTTGAAATCTAACAGCTCGCGACGTGCTAATGCGCCAGTGGTGGGAGATATACCGATGACGCCAATCACGTCGTCGACGTCCAAGGACGCAAAGGCGGCATTAGCTCGGCGGATGTCGTAGAAGAGTACGCGGCCATCGGTAGAGCCGGAGGCGAGGATGTGGGACTGCTTCGGGGACCAGCATACACTGTATACGGCACCGTTAGGGCCCGCCAGGGAGTGCGTGGAGAGGCCAGAGCGGAGATCGAGAAGCCGGATGGCCGGGTGGGCTGTTCCGACGGCGATCAAGGGCGACGAATCCGGCAGCGGGGAGAGGCAGTGGGTGTACGGGAGAAAGTCGAGGGAAAAGGTGTGGATGGGCGTAAGAGCGGAAGGGGTTACCGACGTGACTTTGAGGGTTTTGTCATAGGAGGTTGTGAGGAGGGTGGAAGGAGTAGGGTCGAACGGGTAGATTGAGATCGAGGTGAGAGCGTGCGTGTGGGCATTGGGAGTGCTTTTCGACAATGCCGCTTTCGGAATGTATTTCGTTAGTATTGAACTCGGCGAGGCTGACGGAGTCGATGAAGATTCGTGCTCCTCGAGGTCCCACAGCCGGATGGAAGAATCTGCCCCTCCTGAAAAGAGATACCGGCCCTCGTTGGTGTCGATGGCAAGGCAATTCACACCGGCCTGATGGGCAATGTATGGAGGCAATCCTTTTCTTCCTTCACTGCCACCATCTCCTGCGACGACATCCTGTTGAGATTCTGGCTCCGTCCTTGCCCACGCGAAAGTAATGTTCCGGCGATGACCGAGGCTGTGGACCAGGCTCTCATTATGACTTCGCCTGAAGGACGCTGACGAGACCGTGCCCAGGCACTGGCCTAAGCGAAGTTGATTCATGCATCAGCGAGATTCGGACCTGCTGCCTCTTTCTCCGCGATGGTTGTGATCTAGAGCCAAATTCCAACCGGACTGTTCTGGTGCTGCTTCTGGTCCTGGGTCATTAAGACGTGATGATAAAGTGGAAGGGAGGTGAATGTTGAGTGGAAGGAAAGTCAAGTAGCAAGGCTCCAGCCGGATTTTGTCTGACGGAAACTTTTCCCCGCATCTCCCATAGACTCAAGGCCATGTACCTTGTATGAAGCGGTAGCCTTGCCGTCTGACTTACTGTTTCCTCTACGTGCTCCATTTCATCGACTCCATGCGACCTGTTTCATTTTGTATTGAGAGGAGTGTCTGGGCTAGTTGTAAATGTTATCGCACAGTTAGTTGAGGTCATGTTTAGCCAGGACATATGCCTCCGTACCCAGTACTCGGCGCTTTGTACAGGTTCGGCCTAGCAGGCCAAAGTCAGCACTTCGTGTCAAGATCAACCCACCGTAGAGACTAAGCTCAAAACGGCAGTCTGCAATTCGACGGTAGGATTTACGCGGGTCGAGCTTTTGCTTTGAACCACCGCAGAAAATGTGGCTCGAAGATGGTGTTTGAACTCCATGTCTGGGGCCCAGCGTTCGAGCTTCCTTCTATCGATGCCCAATGTCTAGCTACAATCTTCTACCTCCGCCAATGTCTGCCGCTTGACCGCTGGGTGCTGATTCCCTCAAGCGACGCTCGAGTCAGTCCTCTGGCAGAACTCCCTGCGTTACACGATGGCGAGACTTGGGTCGCTGGGTTCACCAACATTGTCGACTATCTCCGAGAGACCTCCAATGGCGAACAAGACCTAAACAAACGCCTCAATGCCCAGCAACAAGCAGACTGCGCGGCATTTTCAACCTTCATCGCTTCACGTGGCCAACCTCTGCTCGATCTCAGCCTCTATGTGAGCAGCGACAATTATCTTAATTGCACGAGACAAGCCCTCAGCGATGTCTTGACATGGCCAAACAGTTGGACTTTACCTCATCAATGGCGGGCACAAGCGAAGAAGAGGTCTGAACATTTGGGTCTGGACAGTCTAGATGTGGATAGTGCACAGGCGGAGGAGGAGAAGAGAGCGGATACAGGCTTGACCGCGCATATTCCCAAATCTCTGAGAAAACCCAGGCAAACAGTCACGGGGCTACTAGGCCGGCACCAGCAAAAGAACCGGTTTCGACTTGACGCTGTCACAGAAGATTTCTTTGAACCATTGAGTGAAATGCTGGGGAAGAAGAAGTGGTTACTGGGCGACCAGGCCTGCAGCGCTGATTGTCTGGTGATCGGCTATCTGGTGTTGATGCAGACGCCAGCACTAGAGCATGGGTGGCTGCGGGAGTCTCTCCAGAGGAAACACGCCATTCTACACAAGTGGGTGATAAGTCGGGCTGCGGAAGCCTTCGGTCCGCCACCCGATGTCTCTTTGGTCCTGGGACGGAAGCATGGGCTTGAACCGTCCGAGTTGTCCTTACCATGGCGAGTACCAGCTTCTAGCAGTCTTCCACAGGTCGTGCACGCGGTTGTGGAGGGGTGCATTAGCTCGATCCCACTCATAGGATCTTGGTACGGGGTCTCGGAGATCGGCAACACGCATACATCAGGTCGAGAACGACACCGAGAGAAACAGCTGCAGCTGGCGAGTCTCCAGAGACGGCGAGATGTGTATCTCGAGATTGTGGCGTCAGGTATGGCGACAGTGGGACTGATGGCATGGCTGGTGTATCACGGGCTGCTACCAGTGCCTCGATGGGGACGCTCTGTATCGACAAGGCGCGGATTTGGGGAAGCAGGTGTGCTTCTTGGACTATGATGATGATAAACTTGTAAAATAGGTACGTAAAATCACAGAAGGGAATAGCAGTCACTGCTTGAAGGGAATAGGCTGAGGAAAAGTGAGGACCTTAAGATGGTAGCACGCCAAGGGGCGCCAAGGCACAGCCTTGTCAGCTGCGTCGAGATGATTGGATAGTGGGACGAACTGGTGACGGGTACCTGCCGCCCCTGCCGATGACGATTTCCACAACTTCCAATCAACGCTGGCGTGGGGAGGGTGGGGGTGCCATGCCAGCAGCCTCGTCCAATAAACTGCCCTCCATTGTCCTCACCTTTAAGGTCCTCACTTTTGCTGCTGCTTCTCTGCTTTGTCACAGGCACAAGGTGGTTTTGGTGGGTTTGGTGGTTGCACTGACTAGGAACTGGACTGCGACTGCCTCCTTCCTCCCCTCTCGGTGGAGCGGGTGGAAGATCTGAGAACTGAGAGCTGCCTCTCTGAATAATAAAAAAAAAAGAACCCCTGCTAGCAGTCTGTATCTCGTGAAAGCCATCTGTTCCGCCTCGTTAATCTTGCTCTCGACCCTTCTCTCTCGAAGATCTGGATCCGGTGGAGTCAGGCCTCAAACCCTGCTCGTATCTTCTGAAAGACGACTTCGCATGTAAGGATTTCAGCTTCTCGGAAAGCACCAACCCACGCCTCGCTCACGTATCATCGAAATAGATCACTCCAACCACACATTGCACACCTTGTACAGCTCCCCGGCAGCTTCACCCCTTTAGGCCATATTGTCGCAACCTGCTGCTAGCCGTTTCCGCTCGCTATTTGCGCCGAAATGTCCAACCTCGAGTCCTTCGTTCATCTGATGGTTCGGCAAGATGATTCTGGAGCGACTCCAGCTTGTGATACAGGCAACGACTATGATGGCCGCATCGGCTTACGAGTTGCCGCCCTCTTCATAATATGGATCACCTCGTCGATAGGCGCCGCCTTTCCCATCTTTGCAAACCGGCACCGAGGACTAAAAGTGCCAGAGCCTGTGTTCTTCATCTGCAAGTACTTTGGATCTGGTGTCATTATCGCTACCGCCTTCATCCACCTCCTAGCTCCTGCGACCGATGCGTTAACAGATCCATGTCTTACCGGGCCCATAACAGAATACGACTGGGCCGAGGGTATCGTCCTGATGACCATATTTGTTTTATTTTTCGTTGAATTGATGGTCATGAGATATGGGAATTTTGGTGGAGCACATAATCACGATCATGGAGATGGGCATGCTCATGCACGTGCTCATTCTCATTCACACGCGGTCGACCTGGAGAGGTCGACAACCGACACGGAAATGACTCCCGCACCAGGTTCATCGCCTTACAAAGACAGTCCCCACTCGGTGAGCCTGCCTCTATCCACGCGGCTGTCGCGCTCTCAAAGTACACATGTGCCTGGAGAAGATCACATGGGCCATGCTCGTGAACACAGCGAAATCGAGGAGGCCGCCAACCCGTTCAGCCTCGAAGACTACAAAGCGCAGATGACGGCCATTTTCATCCTCGAATTCGGAATCATCTTCCACAGCGTCTTCATTGGTCTGACGCTTGCTGTGGCCGGCAGCGAGTTTGACACGCTTTTCATCGTCATTATTTTTCACCAGACCTTTGAGGGCCTCGGGTTGGGATCCCGGCTCGCCGTAACGCCGTGGCCGAAAGACCGACGATGGACCCCCTACGTCTTAGCGTTGTCCTATGGCCTCAGTACTCCTCTGGCAATTGCCATCGGCTTGGGAGTAAGGAAGAGCTATCCTCCTAATTCCCAGACGACACTCATCGTCAATGGCGTCTTTGATTCGATGTCCGCCGGCATCCTGATCTACACGGGGCTGGTGGAACTGATGGCTCACGAGTTCATGTTCAGCATCTCAATGCGCAGAGCGAGTATCCGCACAGTCATGGCGGCTTTTGTTACCATGTGTCTTGGTGCAGGACTTATGGCATTGCTTGGGAAATGGGCTTAGTGAGCGGTCGTTATGAAAATTTCCTTAGACCGCGGCAGTTAATCATGTAAAGGGTGGATGCCGGATCATGTGTGTACAACTAGCCTCAAAAATGCAAATCAATGGCCCTAGCAAGGCTGTAGATCTGATGAGAGGCATGAATCAAACGATACCCCCAGAGAATGAAAGCGACCCGATACAGTTTATCGCACAACAACAAGACACTTGCCGTTTCATCTGACTTGATCCGAGAAGGGCTCGTCACATTTCCTCCCGTATTGAGCTGAGCCCCGCGACGCCGCTGGAGTGGCCAGCTCTAATGCATGGCAATGCCTCGGTACTAGGTAGTTTTGAGGTAAATTGAGGCCGAGGAGGCGAGGCTGAAACAGAAAAGGAGAACTACTCCGTACATACGTCCATATGAAATGCCCATATACGTACATAGATGGCTACAAGGGGACAAAACGGATTCGATTGCCCAGATACTTAACTCGCGAACTAGAAGATATTATAGCATGGTCGTCGGTGCCCGAAACATATGGAACCCATGTCCTGATGTAAGATGTAAGATGTGGATATTAGCCCTCTCTGGCATATTTGCAGGTACTCCTGTGCACGGTATAGTGTACCTAGAGTACGTTGACAGTGTTGGTTGGATATACGCTACAATGCTATGTTACATGTATACATCTGCGCATGAACATAGATAGGCCTATAGGTATTTAGGATGTGGGTAGGTATTCAACAGGCCGTTCGGCATACTCTCTCTGCCCAGGTACCTACCTGCATCTGCATATCCTATCTCCGAACATATCCATTTCGTTAATTCCTGTTTTCCTTCTCCTTGTCCTTCTCTACGTACATCGTTACCTACACAAGTTCAGATCAAATTAGATCGGCTCGAGAAAGTACAATACTAATTTAATTGCCGAAATTCTTTCCGGTGCTGCAATGCGCACTGAGAGAGAAAAAACGATTCTCCCTTTTCTGTTTCCTTTGTATTCGTCTCGTATGCTTCTCTGTTTCAATCCCTTTTCTGTTACTTGTTCCTTTTGAGGGGTCATAGATCATTGCGCCGTCTCTGGTCATATACTGTAACATCCATATCTGTAGTAGAAAAAGAAGAGGAAAAAATCTCCTCCGAGACGTCCGTTCTCTCCACTTTTTTCTTTTGTTTTTACCCTTCCCGCGCCAGAATCCCAAATAATTTCCCATTATCGACCGCACAGATAGAGGGTCCCATTTCTCCTTCGCTTCCATCACCCACACTCAAACCCTGGCTAATGGTGTCGGTACCTTCGAACCCACGCTGGCTTTGTCTGTGACCGGGCCCGTGTGTCCTGCAGTCTTTGGGAGATATACATTTCGGCCGCGAGAGAGGGCCATGGCAACCAAGTTCAGGGAGAATTTCTGTCTCCACTGTAATATCGTGGGAGGGGACGCCCCGCATACCGGCGATGATGAGAGCAGCTTCGAGGCAGGGCGTGCTGTTCGCCGTGCTGGCCGGCCTGCAGAGTCTTGACTTGGACTGGAAGGGAGAGATGGCTGGAGATGGAGGTGAATAGGGAGGATGAGGTGTTGAAGCTAGGTCGTCAGGATCTGAGGTGGCGAAATTCGAAAACGGAGGGGACGGTACGAGGGTGGAAGTGCCATCTGCTTCAACGGGTGGAGCCAGGATGTCGTCTTCTTGAGCATGGTCATCTGTACATGCAACATCATGAGACTTGAGACTGTTCGGAGGCGGTCCGGGCATGTGTCGCACTGGAATCCGAAACCTGGTTGTCATCGAACCGGGGATTTTAGTACTGGGAGGCCTCGCGTGCGTCTCATAATCTTGATGCGGTGGTGCTGGCAACACCGTGAAAGGAATGCCCTTCTCAAATGCCTTGCCGTCAAACACCCGGCTCTTTCTTGCTCCGGGCTGTCTCTGTTTCTGTTGTCTATCAGCGACAATACGGCCTTCCACCTTATCCTGGTTCCGCGTCGCACTCCGATAGAGTTGAGAACAAGACCTTTGCAACAGCTTATTCTGCTCTCTCAAAACCTTGACTTCCTCTCTCAAGACACGGTCGTCCTCGGAGGCTTTCTGCGTCAGGCTTCTGAAACGCTCCTCCCAGGACGTCTGCAACGCCTCATTCTGCTTCCTCAAAGCCTTGACTTCCTCTTTCAAGGCATGGTTCTCGTCGGCGACATTTCGGGCTGCTGCCTGGACCTCCGCAGTGGCTTGGATGGCTTGAGTCTCGTAAGTACGTAGCCGGCGCTTTAGGTCCTCAATATAATCCTGGCGTCGGGCACGACAGCGCCTTTGGTTGATCGTGTTGCGTTTTATTGGTGAGGCATCTTTCGGGGCTAGCGGTCGGGGCGAAGTCATTGAGAAGGATGGAGAGTCCCGGTTCTGCCGAGATGTTGATTCTTGTGTGCTCATCACGGTTCGGTCTGTAAGTACCAAGTCGTTGATGTTCATGATTCGTTGGCCGGGGGCTTCCGCTCATCAGGTAGAAATGCACGACGAGACTCCAGAAGCAGCGGGCGCTGGTCAGCTGACAAATGAACGAGAGAGAAACTTCCTTTTTAGGAGATAAGCTCGAAGATACGTGGACTCGCTCGTTGGTGATGGCAGTTGGTTGGAGGGGGCAGAGGGGGGCAGAGGGAGGTGATTGTCAATAGTGGCGGTAGCACCGAGTCGATGTTCTGCGTCACGTTGGTCATGACAAGGGCAGCGCCCAGCCGCCAAGAAGCAGTCACCGGCGGCCCGTGATTTGTCGCTTGACGCTTCCACGATTGGCAATTCGGTAAACACTCGAAAACACCTCAGGTGCTACCATTGACCATGGTCGTGGTTCTGAATGTCTGCCTTGCCGCTTCACTCCGTTCGTATTCGCTCCTTCAGTTGCTGAGTGCTAGCGGCCTGCGCTTTTCGTCAAGTTGCAAGCCAATAGCTGGGGGACCGTGACACACCGCTACGCCTATAATTCTGAGCATGACCACCTCGAATCGAGCAGTGTACTTGGTAAGATCCAATATCTACTGCCGAGAATTCTAACTGTTGGCGGCATCACTCTGCTTTGTATCCTCTGTTCAACTTCCGTGTTAAGCTTCACCGCAAGGGTCACCATGGACGCCGCAACAATTTATCAGACGGTCAACACCAGGTACTCCAAGGTTGCCTCGCAGGCCGATGAGAGCGACGCCCAGGCCTCCAAAAGTACCCAAATCGCAGCATCGTTTGGATACTCGGCTGAGGATCTAGCATCTCTCCCCACCGGGACGAACCTTGGTCTGTCGTGCGGAAACCCTCTGGCGACTGCAAACCTCCAGCCCTCTGAAAATATGGTTGACCTCGGATCCGGAGGCGGGCTCGACTGTCTCATCGCCGCGAGGCAAATACTGAAAGGAAATCCTTCCCCGAGCGGAAAGATTTACGGGATTGACAGAAGCGAGGCGATGATCGCGTTGGCGAGGAAGAACGCTGCCAAAGCGAACTTGCCCGAGGGTCTCGTGGAGTTCATCCAGGCACCGATAACGGAAATTCCCGTGAAGGATTCTACAGTCGATCTGGTGGTCAGTAACTGCGTCATCAACCTGGTTCCGGACGAGGACAAGCCTACCGTCTTCAAAGAAATCCACCGGCTCTTGAAGCCTGGTGGCAGAGTTGCAATCAGTGACCTTCTCGCAAAGAAACCCATGCCAAACCATATACGTCGCGACGCGGCGCTGCTGGTTGGCTGCGTGGCGGGCGCCAGCCTGGTGGACGAATACCGGCGTTGGATGGAGGAAGCTGGGTTTCTAAAGGATAGCATTACCTTCATCAACACCGAGAAAGACTTGAACGTCTACCAGGACGCGGATGGCACAGCGTCTTGCTGTAGGGAGGAGACGGGGTCGAAGAGCTGTTGTGACAAGAACACAGACAGCGCCTGCTGCGTGGAGAACAATGGTCGCAAGCCATGTTGCACCAAGAACGCGGAGCCTAGTCGGAAGTTGGACTTCAATGAATGGGCGGCTTCATATCAGATCTATGCCATCAAATGATTGGCAATTACTTCGCCCAACCATGTACACAGAGTTGATGATATAGGCAGGCGAATCAATTGATCATGACACAATAAAGCAGAACAACAGCACCGGAGGCGTACAGGAAGGGAGCGGTGCAAAGTTGGTTCATGAGGCGCAGACTAAATCTGATGGTACGAGTTATATGTGTATTACTATTCAAAGGCCATGTATGTCTGAATGCCGGTCGCCGTCGGCGTTTTCACCGGCAAAACCCAGAACATCAAGTCCATCTGTTCTGACTCTCTTATTGTCTACCTTGACGTACTGGACTGAATACGAGAATTTCTGCATCCCATTTGATCCTATCTTCTCCCTGTCTTATCCTCAGCGGCGAGAGAGCAGGCACCCGAAACAAAAGCCGTCCTGATCACCATCATCATCCTCCATCACTAAACAACATGCCTCTCTACGACGTCGAGCACGTCACGCCCCTGACGCCAGACCAGCAATCGGCCCTGGCAAAGGCGCTGACGAACCTGCACGCGACGCGCTTCAAGACGCCCGGCTTCTTCCTCAACGTCCGCTACACGGACTCTAGCAAGCAGGTCGTCTTCCGCAACGGCCGGAGAGCCGTCTACAACCGCGTCATCCTGCGCACCCGATCCGGCGAGCAGCGGTCCAAGGAACTCTACGACGAGCACTGTCGCGACATTGTCAGGGTGTGGGAGGAAGTCGTGGGCAAAGAAGGTGAGTTGGGACTGAGGACCGTGTGGGTGATGGCCGCCTTGACCACGGCTGTCGAGTGCGGTATCGCCAGGCCAAAAGTGAGTCACGAGTGCGTTGCGTTCTCTTCTTCTCTTCGCTCACTCAACCCCTTTTGGCTGATGTTCAATCTGCAATGACAAAGGTGGGCGAAGAAGATGAGTGGCTCAAAGCCAACATGGACGAGTTTCAGAAGCTGGCCGCAGCAGGTGATGAGGACTTTGTGGAATTGGTCCAGGAACTCGACTCATCAGGCAGCCGAT